TCTTTATTATATAGGATAGCAGCAGTCGCCAACCGGTGGTCTGCGGACCACTGGTGGTCCATAAGGTCCAAAAGGTTGGTGACCACTGTTCTATAGTGTGTTATAAACTTAACCTAAAAAACAAATATCAAACTCTAAATAATATGTATGCTGGAGTGTTTAGGGGAGAAAAGTACTGATGTCTGCAACTAACTTGAATTGTATAAAAAATAAGATAGCTGATAAAGCAAATATAGCAAAATGTTAAGAATTGAAGAATCTATGTGGTAAGTATATGGGTATTCACTATACAGTTCTTTCAACTTTTCTGTATGTTTACAAATTTTCATAATAAATATTGTGGGGAAAATATATTCAGTATGATCCCTTTTATTTCTTAACTATAAAATGTTATCTTTCTACATGTTCATGTTTAGGTCTATAAATGCTTCAAAAGTAGGAAAGGTTTACACACTAGAATGATAGAGAGAGGTCTAGGGTCACTTGTGCTTTATCTGTACTGAGGATTCTAATATCTGGACTCTTCTACAATTTGGTCTCTGACCTTGCTCCAATAACTAGGCCATTTTGCAGTTTAAACTCTGACTTTGCCTATCAGACAATTTGTATTCTTTGCATTGTCTGTTTTACTACAAAAAATTGTTTTATTGGTGTATTTTGCAGACTCCAAGGGAAACTGAGGCATTGGCCCCTGCTTTGTGACCTGCCCTGCTGACCATATTTTGTGACTCCAACTATTGGAATATCCCATGGCTCTACCTGCTGACCATGAGTCAACTGAAACTACCCATTATTCTTATCTCGTAGCTCCACTTGCTGACCACTGAGTCAGCAGTCCCCTAAAAATCCAGTTGCCCCCACCAATCAGAAAATGAATAAATTACGGTCTTGTATCCCAACCCTTTGATTAGCAACTCCTTGAAACTCATCCCTTTAAAAAGCTTGCCTTGCCCTGGCCGGTTTGGCTCAGTGGATGGAGCGTCGGCCTGTGGACTGAAGGGTCCCAGGTTTGATTCCAGCCAAGGGCACATGCTTGGGTTGTGGGCTTGATTCCTGGTGGGGGGCGTGCAGGAGGCAGCCGATCAATGATTCTCATCATTGATGTTTCTGTCTCTCTATCCCTCTCCCTTCCTCTCTAAAATCAATAAAAATACTTTTAAAAAACATTAAAAAACAAAAACAAAAAAACCTTGCCTTATTTTTCCCACCCTAGAGTGTATCTTTGGTTCATGCCAAAGGCTACATTTTCTGATTTGCAAATCATTTATACTAATAAAATCCTAGGTGGCCCTCGCACGCGACGTTGTCACAAGATGGCCACGCACACAGTGGAGGCAGGGCCTGGCGGCACTCCACGCAGTAAGGCCTAGGGGTCCCGCAGCTCTGTGCGGCGCCAAGAAGGCCAGTCCTGGAGTCTTTGCCACCTCGAGCAGAAGAGGCGGTCCCGGCGGAGGAGGTGGGTCACAGCAGGGGAGGGCAGTTGGGGGCATCAATCAGGCAGGCAGGTGAGCGGTTAGGAGCCAGCAGTCCTGGACTGTGAGAGGGATGTCTGACTGCTGGTTTAGGTCCAATCCCCAATCCCCACAGGGATCTGGCCTAAACCCGCAGCTGGACATTTCCCAAGGGGTCCCAGATTGGAGAGGGTGCAGGCCGGGCTGAGGGACAACCCCCCCCCCCCCCGTGCATGAATTTCATGCATCGGGCCACTAGTATCTGAATAAAACTGTCTTTGATCCCTTAGAAGAGTCCTATGGAACTTTCATTTACAGTACCATTTACATTTTTTTTATGAGAATACATAAATTCATTATGCGTTACTTGGCTCTCAAAATCAAATAAAAAAGAATGAATTTTAAGGAAGGGGTAATGGGAAGTATACATAGTACTACCTGCACCCCAAACACACACACACACACACACAATTGAATTAATCTGAGTGTCACTGATTGAAGGAAAGGTTGCTTCAAGGGGTCAAATGAGTTAATGTAGGGTTTAGCCCAGGGGTGGGCAAACTTTTTGACTCGAGGGCCACAATGGGTTCTTAAACTGGACCGGAGGGCCGGAACAAAAGCATGGATGGAGTGTTTGTGTGAACTAATATAAATTCAAAGTAAACATCATTACATAAAAGGGTACGGTCTTTTTTTTTTTTTAGTTTTATTCATTTCAAACGGGCTGGATCCGGCCCGCGGGCCGTAGTTTGCCCACGGCTGGTTTAGCCTGTACCTGATACATAGCATGAGCCCAGAAAAGGGTTCCTCCAACTGTCATCATCATTAGTACATGTCATTGGGCTGGGTGAACTGGCAAGTGCTTTGTAGGAAATTCTTTGTCAGATATAAATTACCACAGAAAGTGCTGTGTCATAGTTGAGCATACACTAGTCAATAGCTAAATCTCTCCACTCAGGCCTTAAGGGACCCCAGGGTGGGTGGGGTTTCAAGAGAGAAAAACCTTTGCCCAGGCTGCCAATATGTCTGCCCTGTTCCAACAGCCTCCTTGTTACCATAGAGTCAGGTGGTGCCAGAAAGTCTCCTCCATTGGCCAAGATGGTGTAGGGGGAGGTTATTACATTGAGCACCTTGAAAACTAGCATGATAATTGGATAGAAAAAGACTTCCCCTCCCTATCTCTATAAGACAACAGGCTTGAGCAGGAAGTGGGGATGGTCTTTGAGATGAGAATCTACCATTCTCCCAGGTCATGTGGCACCTAAATAAACCTCTTTCCTTTTGCACCAGCACCTGTCTCATGAGTTTGGCTTTTGTTGCTGCAAGCAGCCGAACTTGCGTTTTTTTGTTACATCCTGGCACCAGTACCACTGACCAGAAGCCCAGGGGCAGAGATATTATTCTCTGCCACTTATTGCCTGTACTGGTTTCTGAACCTGCAAGTTCAGCAAGACCAAAAGACACTGGAGTTGCTTGTGTCCCCAAGTACCTGTGGGATACTACTCTCTCTTTTTCTTTCTTTTTTAAAATTGATTTTAGAGAGAGACCAACAATTGTTGTCTCATTTATTTATGCATTGATTGGTTGATTCTTGTAAGTGCTCTGACAGGGGATCAAACCCGAAATCCTGGCGATCAGGATAATACTCTAACCAACTGAGCTACCCAGCCAGGGCTCATACTAGGTCTTTATTGAGTTTCTACTAAATACTGGACATTGTGTCTGGAGGAAGAGATATAGAGACAAACAAGAAATGGGGCCAGCGCTCAGGAAGCCCTCAGTCAATATGACAGAGACAATTTTACCAGTGGGATAGAGATGGGAGTGGAATAGGAGTGGTGCCTAGCCTAGGGATCAGGGATGGCTTCCTGGAGGAAGTGATGGTCATGTAGAGTCTTAAAGAATGAGTAAGTAGCCCTAGCTTGTTTTGCTCAGTGGATAGAGCCTTGGCCTGTGAACCAAAGGGTTCCGGGTTTGATAATGGTTAAGGGCATGTACCTTGGTTGCAAGCTCCTCCCACCCCTACCCCCAACCCCGCCCCAGGCTGGGGTACGCAGGAGGCAACCAATTGATGTGTTTCTCTGACATCAAGGCTTCTCTCTATCTTTCCCTCTCTCTTCCACTCCTCTTGAAAATCAATGAAAAATAAATAAATAAATAAAACATCTAAAAAAACAAAAAAACAAAGACTAAGCATTAGCCTTATCTAAGGAGGTGGGAGGAATGTATTCCAGGCAAACTTTACAGTTTAAGCAGAGGCATAGCATAACAGGATGTGGCGGAGACTGTAAGATATTTATGCAAAATAAACACATAGATTATATTTATATATAAATTAACATAAATGTGTATTTATTAAAATAAACATATGCATCTTATTATAAAGACCACTAGTTTACATAAATAAAATACACATTCCCATCTTGGCAGGGTAGTTCAGTTGGTTAGAGCATCGTCCCTGTATGCCAAGGTTGTGGGTTTGATCTCTGAAACAACAAATAATAAGTGGAACAACAAATCAATGTTTCTCTTTCTCTCTCTCACAAATCAATAAATTAAAAATATATATACATATTCCCTTGTGGGGTATCTTCACAACTAGATTCAGGAAAACAGTGTCAGTTTTAGCTTTGCAGATGTTTAGACAACCAATCAGCCCACTTTGTGCCCAGTACTAGTTTAGGTGCTGGAAATTCAGCAGTGAACACAAATGCCTGCTGTCCCAAACCTGACATCCCCAGATGAGTTAATACGTATTTTGTTATCAGCGTTTCTTCGTCTGACATCATTTATTTATTTATTTTTAATCCTCACCTGAGGATATTTTTTCCATTGATTTTCAGAGAGAGTGGAAGAGAGAGGGAAAGACAGAGAGAAACATCTATGTGAGAGAAGCATGTTGGTTGCCTCCTGCAGGAGCCCTGACCAGGGCCCAGGCCGGGGAGGAGCCTGCAACCAAGGTACCTGCCCTTGACAGAAGGGAAGCTGGGACCCTTTGCCTCCAGCCGACGCTCTGTCACCTGTGCCATACCAGCGAGGGCTAGTCTGACGTCATTTAGATGAGCACCAAGCTCTTGTGATAATATCAGGTCATCAGAGCCCTGATAAGCAGCAGGACTTGAACCTGCCCCGAATCACCCCAAAGATCTCCTGGCCCCCCACCTTGACCACTCACCCACAGCCACACCCATACATATGTGGGAGTGAATTAAAAAAGCAAATGTTCTTATCCAGTCAGAATAACTTTTCAGAAGAGGGAGGGTCATTTTTGAGTTTTAGTTCAACACAAATCTCTTTTCTGTTGAAACTCATTCAAATCTGTGCAAGTAGCAGCAACCTCAACCGTGAGTCAGGCAGATAAGAAATAGCTCGGGGCCTTGACGGGGTTAAAACTCACGGGTATAGATTGAATCACCTTTAGGTGACACCCCATTATCTACAGGTTCAGACCTTCGTGCGAGATCGGTGACCGAGGCGGGGGCGGGTCCAAACAACCCGCGGGTTCTCGCCGGGCCGGGATGAACCATCTCCGTCCGTGCGCGGGGGTGGCGAGTCCGCTCAGCGCGGAGTGAGGACCCGGACAGCGAAGGGTTGGGGCCGCGCAGCCTCGGGTCCCTTCATGCAGGGCGGCCGGGAAGGGGGGGCCCTGCTGGCGCAGGAATGACGCTGCGGGCAGGGGTCTGCCCCCTTCGTGGGATTATACCCCCCTCCGTGGTGGACTCGGCTGCAAAAGCGAAGGCCCCCGTTATCCGTAGTGTTTCCCACCCTGGCTGTGGTGCGGGGGTAACGCAGGTCGGGGCAAGTGTCCAAGAC